TTAGCTCCCTAGGGTTACTGTGGGAAAATTACCACGTGAGGGAAACCAATAAATCTGTCCTGCTCGAACACAGAGGTTGACAGTTTTATGACCTCGTATACATATTTCTCACAATGTGGTCTAGCTGGAGCTCTGGTTTCACCTGCCAAAAGCACCTTTAAAGACAGAAACAAACGTCCCCTTGATCAAACGTCATTCTAGTCAGTCAGTCCATATGCTCGCAATGCAGTAGTTCATAGAGAGGTAAGCAGGCTAGGTGCACCAATTCTTACAAGTGAGAAAAGAGCTGAGTGTTTTTAACTGAAGGGCAATGCTCAATTATAGTTGCGTGTTCATGGATACACAACCATGCACCCATACTTGTCAATTTCCAATTCTATAGGCCCCTCTTTGCAAACAAGCTAAACCTAGAAGATGTGGTGTATGCTTACTGCAGGTTTGAAAGGTGATATCAGTACTCTGGATTCAATATCCTGGGTGGTATCCTAGCCTCTTTCTTCCTGGAGAAACCACAGGACTGAAGCAGTCCTCAGCATTGGCCTACTTGCTGAATCTCTCTGCACTGGTTAGTGGAGGATGCTTCAGGGCATTTACCAAGGGACATATGGGCAAGAGAAGACTTTACTGAGAATCATTTATTTCAAAAAATAAATTTAGTGTTCTTTAAATTGAAAAAAAAGAACATCTTTTCTGATGTCGTATTGTCAACCCAGATGTACATTTGGGTGCTTCTAAAGAGCCCTGCTGTTCACGCCGGCCCCTCCCACTGCAAATCTAACCTCTGTCTTTTTAAAGCATATTTTATTAATTCTCTGGTGAACAAGGCGCAGGCATACTGACCTGGCAGGGAAGACACCATGATCACGAAGGTGGTTTTCCCAGGGCGAGGCTCACCCATTGCACTGCGGGTGTGCTGACCCCTGCGACTTCCCCAAATACGGGAAACCCCACTGCATGGTTCGTGCTAGTGGGGGACTGCCTCCGTCCGCGCTCTCCCCTGATTAAAAAGCAAAGGACACACAGCCGGCAGAGACCCAGTCCCTGCAGGGTCTTTCTTCTTTCTCTCGGCCAGCACCAGCGTTGGCCGGGCAGCCCCTCGGTCTTCGTCCCGCTGTGTTCCCTGAGCCTCCGGGAGGCTCTGCCCTTTTCAGACCGGCCGTGTCCGGCGCGCCCGTGCTTCGCTTCACTTCCTTTGCGCCATCCACGGAGTCGCCAGTCACCCTCGAAGCCCGCATCTCGCCACCACCAACGTGGGACCACATCTGTATGTGGATTGTAGTAAGAGCTGTACGAGCCCCTAATAAGATGACGTTTTTTAAATGACGTCTGGGGAGGTCTGATATATTTTGGCTAGTTTTTTTTGCCAATTTCTCTCTTAGGCACTATTTGCCTTCCCAAGGTAAAGGACGCCAATGACCATTAGCTTGCCCTGAAGTAGCCAATTAGCTGCTTCATGAGTGTCCTGGGCCGGACAGTTACTGTGTCGTTCACGATGGCGGCCGCCGCTTCGCTCTGTAACGTCAGCAGACAGGGGAGTATTGTGCTGTGAGGGGTCAGTCTTCATCCTTTGTCTCACTGAGTTTTATCTAAACTTTTTTTTTAATCATTTTATTGGGGGCTCACACAACTCTTATCACAATCCATACCTACATCCATTGTGCCAAGCACATTTGTACATTTGTTGCCAACATCATTCTCAAAACACTTGCTTTCTGCTTGAACCTTTGGAATCCGCTCCTTTTGTTTCCCCTCCCTCGTGAACCCTTGATAATTTATAAATTATTATTATTTTGTCATATCTTACACTGTCAGATGTCTCCCTTCACCCACTTTTCTGTTGTCCATCCCCCAGGGAGGAGGTTATATGGAGATCCTTGTAATCAGTTCCCCCTTTCTACCCTACCTTCCCTCCACCCTTCTGGTATCGCCACTCTCAGCACTGGTCCTGAAGGGATCATCTGTCCTGGATTCCCTGTGTTTCCAGTTCCTATCTGTACCAGTGTACATCCTCTGGTCTAGCCAGACTTGTAAGGTAGAATTGGGATCATGATAGTGGGGGAAAGGGGGGAACATTTAGGAACTAGAGGAAAGTTGTATGTTTCATCGTTGCTACACTGCACCCTGACTGGCTCATCTCCTCCCCACGACCCTTCTGTAAGGGGATGTCCAGTTGCCTACAGATGGGTTTTGGGTCCCCAATCTGCACTCCTCCTCATTCACAATGATTTGATTTTTGTTCTTTGATGCCTGATACCTGATCCCTTTGATACCTTGTGATCACACAAGCAGGTGTGCTTCTTCCGTGTGGGCTTGGTTGCTTCTGAGCTAGATGGCCTTATCTAAACTTTTAAATGAGATTGCTCCTTTTTATAGATTCTGTATATGCATGAAATCTAGAATCAGCAACTCTGGCTATTTTGTGGCTCAGGTTGAGGAGCTGAGTCAGGAGTCTATAAGAAGGGCCTATGTTGACCTATTTGTACTCAAGGACAGCTGGGAACTAGTTAATCAAAAGCTCTGCTCTTTCACCTTTCCCAGACGATAATACACACACGTATATAAGCTCTGGAATAAGAGTAGTCCTGATTAGATAGTGCCCCCAAAGTCTTTGTAATAACCAGCCTCAAAGCAAACCAGTTACTTGGAGCAATTCCCAAACTCTTGTCATTTAAGCCTTCATCCTGAAATGCAAAATCTGGGTGAGTCGTTTGGTTGGTGTGGCATTGATGCACTCAAGAGCTCGGAAGTCTACTGAGTTTGCCAATCAGCACTAGCCACGAGGACACGGAGAAGAACTGAGTGTGGGTAGGCTGGCTGGTCCTTCTAGCATCGAGGCCACCATCCAATGAGGCGCACAGCCCACTGCCACGCACAGTGAAACTGCTGTGACAATGGTCATAGGGAATGTGCAAGACTCCAGAGAGGGCCCCATTCTACATGGAGAGAGGGTTGTGAGGAAGAGTGGAGGGTCGGAAGGGATGGCCAACGAAGGCCCGTCAAGCAGAAAGACTACTGAGATGAGAAGTAAGGGGGCATCACAGAGTCACCCAGACAGAGGCGGTGTGTTAGCTCCCTAGGGTTACTGTGGGAAAATTACCACAAACTGTCTACCAATATCGGTGCCAGTTGCCAGTGAGTGAATTCCAAGTCAGGGCGCCCCCATGTCTACTCTGTCAGAGTAGGCCTGGCTCCATTAGATGGTCAAGTCCATCTTCCAAGGTGCCTCCAGGGAGACTGGACCCTCCAGCATTCGGGTAGCAGCCAAGCTCAGATAATTACCAACCTAGAGAGAAAAAAAGTGCTTTAAAAAATAGACATATATTCCCCCGCCATTGTAAAGACTAAAGACTAGATGTTCAAAATCAAGATGTCAGCAGAGATAGGCTCATTCAGAAGCTCCGGAGAGGAATCCTTTCTTGCTTCTTGGCTTGTTGCATAACTCTGATCCCTGCCTTTCTTGGCGTGGACTTCTTCCTTGTGTTTTCTTTCTGTCTCTCTGGGACATTTTTAGGCCCCATCCTAATCCAGTATGACCTCATCATAACTTAATGACCTATGCAAAGGTGCTTTTCATTAATAAGGTCCTACCCTGAGGTTCCTGATAGACATGGATTCTTGGGATCACTATTCAACTCAGTACCAAAGATGTGGAGTGATGGGCAATGGCGAGAATATTCCAGGAAACAGGAAAGGCCTGTAGAGGCTCGGACCGAGGGAGGGAGAGACTCACTTGAGAAACCGCAGAAGGTCATGTGACTAGAGCTCAAAATCCAGCGACAAAGTGGCAAGCGATTGCGGCTGGGAAGATACCAGCCCCAGATCCTATTTATTCTAGAGTTTACATTTTAGTACATTGACTTATTGGTCCCTTGTCCCCTTCCTGGCATTTATACGGTTTTCCCAAGATGAAGATATAAATCTAGAGCGTATCTAAACCCAGCTAGAAAACATGTTCACTCCTCTAAGGATTTCTTGGTGCTGCTCAGGAATGTTACTAAGTGTTCATATTAGCTTTAAATTTTTCCTAGGATTCCTACCATATAAGGTCATTTCTAAGAGTGTGGCATATTCTGAATGATTTGCAAGCATGGTTTCAAATATTGATTTTCACATTAAACATTAGTTGGAACATTCAAATCCTGTAAGAATGGCTATAATACACGCCACCCCCAGCCTCTCCTTCTTTGTTTTTAATTTAAGCATTATAATTGCTTGCATGCTTATCAGTCTAGGCCCCCTGGATTCTAAACTGATATTGGGCAAAAGTCCAACCCCATCATCTTTCTGTCCTTCATGTCACCCTGCACACCATTTAGTTCGTATCATACGTGAACACATTGTCTACTCCATGTTTTCAACTGCCCAGCATTGTGCAACAGAGGAACTGACAGGTAGTCCCCGACTTCTGATATATTCTAGTTACAGCAAACCACGCTTAACAGTGGTCTGTTATTATTTTTTAAACATCTTATTATCAGTAGCTGGGTCCCTGGTGGTGTAATGGTTACTTGTTCGACTGCTGCAAGGTCAGCAGTTCAAAACCACCAGCCACTCCTTGGGAGCAAGGTGGGGCTTCTATACTAAGGTGACCAGACGTCCCGCTTTTGGCGGGACAGTCCTGATTTTTAACAATTTTTCCCGCGTCGTGCGTCCCAACTGCAGGAAGATCACAGGCCAATAGATGGAAAGTCCTGTGGATCCACTGGCAGTGGAAGCATCTTAGCGCTGGCATGGGTCTCCACATGGCTCCTCCAGCTCCAGGTTGCTGGCTGCCATCAGCATAGCTCCTTGTGGTTTGTCAAGAGGAATGTCTCACAGGGAGATGAAGCAGGGGGCGTTGCAGAGTGTGTATCTGGCCTCCAGTGAGCTATTTATCTTCATCACGCCTCTAAATGAGACCATCATGCTGCGACCTGATTGCAGGCTAGACTTCACCCCTTTGCAAGTTGGCAGGAGATTCCGTAACTGCCACACATTTCCTATTGGGATTTTACATTTATGAATAAATTCAAGTAGGTAGTAGTAGAACTTAGTGCTCTAATTATAGGGATGGATATTAAAGTTGCTGGTGATTAAGGGACATTTGTCCTTTATATCCCCAAATTAGCTTTTAGGAATTAAACTTCCAGCCAGTCCAACTTCACATCTGATCACGTTATATTCCAAAAGACCTACTCATGTTTTAATCGTCTTCTGAGCATGTTGCATGACATTGGAGAAAGTGGTCCAGTGTTGACACGATGAAATATGTATGTAATTGTTATTCTTCATTGTTATTGTGCAGGTTAAAATGCCGCTTGGTTTTGGAAAAACAGTCATGCAAGAAGCATCTGTGAAGCCATTCCGCCTTTTCCCTCTGTTCCAGGAATCATGGCCGGATGGTTTTCACAGGGACTAAGCTCTCATGGATACCTGAGTGGGAATTTAGCTGGAGATGGGTTGGATGATTAGCCAGCACGTCTAAAACCAAAAGCCAAACCCATCAAGTCCATTCAACTCAAAGTGATCCTGATACAGGAGCTGTGGGGCAGCTGGTGGACTTAAACCCCCAGCTTTGCCATTCGCAATCCAGCACTTCCCCAACAGTGTCCCCAGGACTGTGGAGCAAACACATCGTGGTTCTTATTTTCTGTTCGTGTTGACTCGGTGTTTTCTTCCCTACAACTGTCAATTCAACTGATTTCTTAGCTCAGAGACCCAGGGACAGATTACCAAAAAGCAAGATAAGCCTGGACCTACCTTGGGGAGGAAGCACAAGTAAGCCAGTGCTTCCCTTGCTTCCTGAGAATGCCATCCCCCTCAGAGATTGTCGAGTCGAAAAGAGGCTTTGATTCTGTAGAAGGATCCTATAGGAGTTGGGAGAGAGACAGATGCCAGCCAGATCTGAATGTAGGATCTTTGACATGTACAATTGTTCACTACAGATTAATAAATGAGCACAAGTAACCGGGCACCTCCCTTGCTCCTTCAGTTACCGGACATTGCAGAGACTGTAGTCCT